AACAGAATACGCACCCACGGACAACAACACCACCACCACCACCACCACCACCACCACCAGCACCACCACCACCACAACCACCAACAGCAGCAGCAGCAGCAGCAGCAGCAGCAGCAGCACCAGCAACAGCAACAGCAACAGCAACAGCAACAGCAACAGCAACAGCAACAGCAGCAACTGCAGCGACAAGCACCACCACCCCCACCACCACCACCACCACCACGACGTTGCAGCAGATTCTGTGCAGGCAGCTGGCAAGAAACTGCGGGGATGCCGACATGGTCATCCTTGGATCGGTGCGAGACAAGACCGTGTCGCACAGTGGTCAGGTCCAAGCGAATGGCGAGGTTGAGGTGATGAAGACAGTGCTGTTGCTGTAGTGACTTTGTGGGTATGCGAGGCTTGCTGCCATATCCTCTACTGTCGTGAGCAGTCACCCCATGGTACAAGTAAGGCTCATGCAGGAAAGCTTTCATAGAAGCGGGGGGCCCGCTAGGCCGGGCAGACTGAATTGATCCAGGCGGCGGCGCAGCGCCAGGATAAGTTACCACCTGTTGCATGAAGAACAAGGAGACAGCACCCTGCGCTGATCGCAATGTCACATGGTCTGCAAGGCCTGTGGTCTTCACATAACCTCGTATTGAGCGGCACACTGGTATGCCGCTGACTGATCACAGATCCCTGCTTGCAAGCAGCCAGGTGGAATTGGATCCGGATCTGGGCATGGGTCCTCAGCAGTTTCGACATGAAAGGGCCTGTGTCCACCTGCTGCCTACCAGGCCCTGGCGAAGCTCCATGCACCACTGGAACCACCGCCCATGCTAGTTGAGGCGAGCTGCCAACGAACCGACGGGCCACTCGTATGCCAAGGGCCTTCATTGATTCTCGGCATGCAGTTCCTACTTGTGGAAGAATGATATGCTGGAGCTGTGGGAACTCATGTGCTAAGCCAGCATGCATCCCAGTCTACTTCGGAACTGGGGATGGTCTGCCATGCGACACGCGCCTGTGTGGATCCGTATTGTTTACCTGGGAGGCATATTCGGACATCACTTCTGCAGGAGATCTCTTCAGAGATGCTTTGTGAATTTGCGGCTTGCTTGAAACTGAAGGCCGGATTCGCCTTGCAAGTTGCAGGTGTAAGTTCGGGATGAAGTTAACAAAGCTACATGGTCTCGCCACTGACACTTTTGCAAAGAAGCCGGTAGCAATTGCTGCTACCTCTCTCAACAGACACTCCCGAGCTTTGGCTAGTGACACTGGGCGAAAGCTTTTGTGTCAAATGATCCCAACATTCTGCAACATAACTGTCACAACATTCCTGCCACGCGGCACGACAGCTGCCTCGGCCCTCACTGCCACTGTATGGTGCCAAACAGGAAATAGTGCCTCAGGCAAAAACCCTCAGGGCCCTCAGAGAACTTCGATACCTTTCCGGTTTCTCTTCGAGGTGCAGCTGCTTCCAGCCGGAACGGAGTGACACAAAGAGGTGTCGTAGAAGCCTCGCAAAGATGAAAAGCCCATAACTGAGAAGGAGAAGGAGTCTCACAAAGAAAGAATGACAGAGTCGATTCCAAGCGGCAGGGAGGCTGAGTCCTGGGATCCGGCGCCTTACCTCAGCGATCAGAAGCGCAGAACCACCCACTTCCGCCTGCGATTTTCTCCGGAGGCGGAGCCGCAATCCCACGGAAGCTAAGCCCAAGACATGGGACGATCAGCAAGCATCCGCTGAGCACGGTGCTCGTTACGCAACCATCCTCGTACCTGCATTCTGAGGCACGGTATTGTGGAAGCTATCAGTTCCCCATCGGCACGGCTCTCCCGCCGCCGAGGCGCGAAGACGTATGGCAGCTTTTCTCAGCTGTCCCCGAATAACCAGCAGCACACTCCCACCTCACAGGGCGAAGTGGGCGAGAATGTATTGACTCTTTCTATCCTCCAGCTCCACTGGCAATTCAGAAGCCTGCAACTCAAGGTCCTCGCAACTTCATCCTGTGAACTAGCCAGCTTGCGCCCACTGTCCAGGAATGTGGAAGAATATGAAAGCACGACAGACGAGCAATCACACACATGAGAAGAACACCCTGCTGAAAATCGCTGCGTGCTGCCATGGCACACACCGAACTCTGTACCGGCCTTCCTGACTTCAATGCACAACACCGCAAAGTGCAGATGATTCGCAGAACGCTCATTCTGAAGCCCTCCCACTCAAACTAGTGCATCCACATGAAGGCAATTGATACTGACGAATTCTGCAATTAGAGGCCAAGCTTCCGATAGCCAGCCGGTGGAGTGTCTGGATCAGGACAGGTCACCTTCCGGAACGAAAGTGCTGTGGATGTCACCGTCACATAGAAACCCTGCGATGGTTTGAAAAGATCAGGGCAATTCGTGCCTCGCAGCTTGGGAGGGTGTACTGGAGCTCGCGACCCATCTCCTGGATTGCGTAATGGGACTGTGGCGCATACACGCGCGTGCATCTTCCTCTACTGTTTAGCTTTTGGACTCGGCATGCACGAGGTTTCTGGTGTTTCGGAGTCTTTGGATTTTCAACCATGTTCTGGGCCTTTCCGAAAGTGTGTTTTTCGGACTCTTCAGGCTTTGCCTGCAGTTTCAGCTTTTGGACTCTGTATTTCCGAGCTTTCTGCTTTTTCGGGGTCTTCGGACTTTTTGAGGCCTCGACTGGTGTTAACGGGAGGAGCATGGTTTCAAGCATGCTACTCCTTCTTGGATTCCAGCATTTTCTTTGTCTCAGTATCCTTCAATGGGAAAACACTGGCAAACGAAATGCAGCCATGTAGGCTTCAAGAGGGGCTTTCGGACAAAACAATTAGTTTGGGCTTGGATGCAAGTGAAGCTGCCTCCTTGCCCAAACTGCTTGTTTTGTCCCAAAGCCCTTCTTGAAGCCAGACTGCATAAATACACCGTGTTTGCCAGGGTTTTCGGGGCGCTAGCGCTCCACCAAGCTAGTTCTCTCGGGTTGCCGTCTGGTTCATAGAGGGCAGCTGCACTGCGGTCATCAGCCAAGCATCGATGTTGTCGGAGGGGCAGGAAGCGATCGTGCTGACACCCACGAAGAACGGCCTCAAAGGGTCAACCGCATGCAGGTGACGGAGGGGCTTCCGACGGGTGCCGCCAGGAGGCGCCCTGCAACTCAGAGTGCATGTGTCCCCGTAGTTCATATCCACGCATGCATCTCCATCCTGAGAACCGTGCACAACGATACCCAAACACCTCACCCGGCCAAGTCTTTGAGACGCGTGGCCACCACACAGCTCGTCATGTTCAAGTCAGCACACCTCAAGAACTTGTGCAACAGTGTTTGCGTTGTCGGAGCAACGCTAGCCGCTAGCGTGTGCAGACAGCGCACGGCTCCAGCTTCTCGCAGCCACCGAAGTCGAGCTTCCATTCGCATGCGATGTTGGTGGTGCAGTTCACCTAGCTGGGCATCTGGAGCCGTAGCTGCCGTTGCTAAGCAACTCTGCCTCGGCTGGGCTGCGGTAGCCGTTGTCGCAGACCCATTCCTTCTCAAATCCCGGCGGACGCTCACTGATCTGAGCAGAAAGCATGAACACGTGAACTCTGCTCCTTCGGTTCTGGCTGCCAGCTGAAACCAGGCCTCAGAGATCACAAACTGCCCACGAACTATCGAATCAATATTTCCGGCCCGCCCACACAGCCGAGAACCGCAAATGAGACCAGTTGGCCCACCGCAGCAAGTCGAGGAGATGGACAGTGGCTACCCGAGTACTAAACTAGAACTCCGACGTGCTGACGACGCCTCTCCACGGCACTTCTCTGAACCCTTGTTTGCTTCAAGGCGTGACCATGGTATCGTCATTGTATCCATGCAGCTTCAGGTCTCAAACATCGATGTGACCCCTGCGGCATCTGACATCGCCAAGACACGGAACAGGATCTCCAGCTGTTGGTGGGCATGCGTGAAAGCAATCAGGGAGCACATACGGCGGCTCCTTCCAGAGGTCAGGGCAGCAAGGCAGCATGGCAGCAAGGGCACGGCTTGGCCTGGCCCTCTTGGTTGTTGTCGATCGGGCATTGCGCGATGCCGGGGACTCCATCATACGGGACCTGCAACAAACGGCGTCAAAAAGCCACTTGATTCCGGTGCCCATTGCATGACCAAGCTCCAAGCATTGCAGTAGATCAGGCCGGTCGAACCAGGCCTATAACAACGCCACCCCACATCCTCCCACAAAATGAAAACTCTTGTTTACGCTCAGCGCCGAACGTCAGGTTCGCTGCTGCCGTCGTGTTGTACGTGCAGTCCCTCCTTGGGCACAAATTTGGTCGCGGAGTGTCTTTGAATTCCGCTGGAAGACTGCACATGCGGCTCAACGCCATGGCGCTGCACGCTGAGATTTTGGCACAATGGGCTCGATGCACGGTGTCAGAGGGAGGCAGCCGAGAAAGGTCGCCTGAAGAAGGAAAAAGCGGAGCACTTGCGGAGCATTCGGCCCGCGCTTCGCCCGTGCCTCCGGAATGCACTGTGCGGAGTTGGGGCTTGCGAGCCGCAGCGCGCATTGCCGAATCTGAGGCGCGAGAGACATGGCAGGCTGAGACCCACACAGGGCTTGCTCTAGGCTTGCTGACCCCTTCTGGGCTTCGGGCAGCGGTTCCCACATAACCAGGTGCGCAGATCCAGACACCAGTCTGGTCATCAAAAGTGTAGCCTCGTGACGCTGCATGCTCAAAACTGGTGCACTCCCCCACATCATCCGACTGCTACCTGTAAAGTCCCTTGTGCCGACAGGCTCATTAGGCTGGCTTTTAAGCTTTTCATGGCACACGTGCGGAGTGCTTCAGACCCATGAACTCCATATTCTGTGAACGGCCGGTGGAGTCGTGTAGGTCTCACTGGTCGCGATCGCGCACGCAAGCAAATGCAAACATATCGTAAGTGTCAGACCAGCCGGCGAAACTGGCGGATCAGGACAGGATTCCTGCGTTTTGGCTTGCAGCATGCAGCAAGGCTAGCTGCACGAGGTTCCTACAGACAGCATCCCAGTCCGCCGGATTCCAAGTGCACACTGGTCGAACGGAAAGCTCTGCACGGCCGTCAACGCGTGTGTTGTTGATAGAGCAAGATGCAGGCCTCGCCAGGATCGAGCTGCGCAAAAGGATGCTAAAGCACACTCTAGCGCACTCAAGCGCCTGATGCTGCCCAGGTAATAGGGCGCTGCACAACGCACAAAGCAGGACCCTCCAGCCGGAACACCTGTGCAGGCGTTGCCAAGAAAAGAGCGGCCTTCACAGCAGTGGCTGCAACCTTGTGGTATTGGCCTCGCATTTAGCTGTTCCAAGCTCTGTGCATGTGTGAGGCACCTTCGCACTCCGAGACGTCGAAGATACACGGAGTGTCATCGATGATTGGTGGTAGGCATGGCCTCAGCTGTTCAGGCGCAGGCCAGTGGGGGCACCCGCTGCAACATGTGTCTATGTCTATGTGCTGACACGTGAAGCTAGGGAGCTGCTGCGGTGCGCAACCAGTGAGGGTCAACTGATCCTGCGGCAGCGGCAATTGGCAAACTCAAGCTGCTTCTCATCTATGCAGCGGAAAAGACATTCCCAAGAAATGAAGCAGGTGATTCAACTAGCTGTGCTGTGCTCTGTTGAAGCATGAGCACTTTCGAGGCCGAATGATTCGAGACGGTCGACGATCCCATATGATCCGCGCATTTCAGCAACGAGCAGCGGAGCGACGGCATGATTGCAAGGCCGGACGGTCCGCGCAGACTTCACCAGCCATGCAAAGATGGACTACCTGCAATGGACAGCAGGGGCTCTTCACTCAAATGTATTGCTCTCCTGTTCAGGCCTCGCCGGCGAAACCTTGAGCACAAAGCCACTCTCCGTCGGCCCCCTGCAGAGTCGGAAGAACGCGTTCCCATCTGGACCAAGCTAACATGTCATGTATCCGGACAGGCCTTCACATAGCCCCCATTTCGGTCCGTAGGATCGCAATCGAAGGAGCAGGTTGGAAGAATGCCCTGACCAAGACTTCGGCACTCCCACTTCCGGAAGTAGATCTCATGCCAAAGATGCACGGCGAGCGCAGGGTCGAACGGCACAGCTGCATTAAGCATCATTAAAACCTTCCGGCCTGAAGCGGCAGTTGCGCATTGAGGTTTGAAGCCGGACAGATCAACGTCTGCTCTCCTTCCTGCAGCGGGCACATCCATTTGCATGAAGAGCGTGCACCGGCCGGAGCGGGCGAGTACAGTACCAACCTCTCATACATTGGTTTGACTAATGTCCTCCCCAGAATTTTCGGAACACTTTAGCAAGGATGAGGTTTCGTCGCAGACACTCGGGAAACTGCACGGCAGCCGACTCGAAAGACGTTCACAGCATTCCTGTCGTCGGGGCGGGGCCGTGAATCTTTTGAAGCTGAGCAGCCGGAGCGGAGCATGGGGGCCGGCAGCTCACCTCGCAACGCACAGCGGAAGTGACGGCAGAAGGCGTCCAAAGCTGAGCCGAGGTGCCGTGCAGCTGCCTCCCGGGCCACGTCCGAAGTTGGCCTGAGGGAACGTTGGGTCCTCCGCCAAGCAAGCCTGCCACATCGACGGCATCGATGCAACTGGACTCGCTGGTTAACCCGGCATTCGCTTTTGGCCTGAGGCGAGACATCAAAATAGCATCCGCCGGTAGTGTTGGACATCCTTGGAGATTGCGCTGCACTTTCCTAGATCCCAGCCGCTGTACCTTCCATGCATGTCGTTCCGCCTGTTGCATCCGTTCCAGCCCCATTCCCACGGCTGTTCCGGGCAGCGGGCACACCGACACAAGGCGAGCTCTGCCCACAACCTGACAAAACGACGCCGAATGAGCAGTCCTGCACAAGTCGCATCTCGGGCTGTTACTACCAATGCCACTCTCTCTCCACAACAAATTCAATGCACTCGTAAGTCCTCCTCATTGGCGACACACTCCTTGTCTTGCAAGTCACGCACAGAGTATTTGCAAAGACCATCCGCAAGACATGCAAGCAACGTCTGATTATCTCAACAAGTGCTAACGAGATACCGCAGTTGCAGACCCAAACCATGAGTCAAGGCAGACATAGCTCCCATTGCTGTAGTTGTAGCCATCTGGCAGTACCTGAACAAAGCACAACGAAGAACTGGCTCAGTCAAGCTGATGTCGGAACAACTTGCTCTTCCTGGTTTGACTTGTTGTGACGCTGGTTCTGACACAAGCCTACAGTCGCATGGGGAGGTTGGGTTGTAACCACACCATGGTTCCAGCTGAGTCTCGTCGCATGGGGACGGCGATTGACGCAGTCCCGAATTCAACGAGTGTGACTCTACAGTTGCTGACGACCGGGTCGACAGAGCATGTGACATCGCATGGGCAAAGACAAGGCTCCAAGGGCACAGGCCTGCCAGAAAAAAGGTTGCCGTGGCAAAGTATCATATCATGAAAAAGACCAGTGACCACTAGTCAGCAATGACTGCTTGTTGTCTGGGCTGTCTGGAGGATCTGTCGATCTGTTGTCTCTTCGTCTCTCCGGTTCCCCTCCCGCCTCTTGCACGGGACAGCGCAGCTCACAACTGGGCGGCTCGAAGTCCTGAAGACACGAGAAGACCTTTCCCGTGGCTCAGAAGCTAAAGCTAACACTTAGGACTCTCTCCCGGCCCCTCCCTGTAAGACTGGCACTACCACGCGGAAAGGATCGAGATTCCCGTAGAGACAAGAAGCATTCGTCGGAGTGCCCTGCGCCGAGTCGCTCCACAGCTCGGTTTACGTGATGTAGTGTCGTGGCCTCATAGGGCGGGCTCCGGCATCGAATCGAGCAGTTTGTCCCGCCGATCACCTCGCAAGCGCAGGCAGAATCCCGAGGTCAACCAGTCCTGGAAAACCACACGCGGGCCAACAGATCTATCGTGCCCCCATGCACAATCAATGCCGCAAATCGGCATCGATGCAGTCTGAAACGTCGTAGATGCACCTGCAAAACAAAGCGGCTGGACGCTGCGAGGTCTGCATCAGAGTTGAGGAGAAACGAGTGAAAACAAGCCTAAGCTTCCGGCAGATCTAAGGTGGGTGGCTGGCAAGATGCCATAGGATCACAGCCGGTGAGCTCCACACGGCCCTGAGTGCATCCGGCTCCCAAAAGAACTCCGTGGCGTGCGCATGTCTTGCCAGCTGGTCACAGCGAATGCCTCAACCCCGGAGTATGGCGTGACTGGCATCGCCGCTCTGCTATCGCGAGATTCCATGCTAACGTACAAACTGCTCGCTGGCTCTAACTAACAGACTCGCGCAAGGCTCGGATACAAGCAGAGCAAGTCTAGGTCGCCACCACCCCGTCATCTTGCACAAGTCCTGTGCGACTGTCAGTCTTTGTGATGAAATCAGGAAGTTCAGTTCGGCGCTCGGAATTCCAAGCGTTGCAGCTCGTCTAACGGCTTCCAGCAGCCTACGTCCTTGCTGGAGTTGGCCCACTCAATACTCGTATGAACGTACTGTTACATCGCGCAGTGCAGAAAACTCTCGCCGTCGGAAGTCCATAGTCTGTTCCAGTGCCAGTGGGCTACATGCTTCCGAGTGCTCCCGTTACGTCCAGCACGGCCTACGTCGGGAAAGCCGTGTGGTAAACTTGGGTAGGGTGTGACTGAGCTGCTCGCCACGCAGACAACTGCTCTTGTGCTGCTGCTGAAGATTGAGTCGACCTAGGTCGCCAGCCCTTCAACTCGAGAGTGTCTTTTCGCGTTCTTGGCATGGCAGCAAGGCTCAGCCGGGCTATTGGCGAAGCACTCGGCGATAGCAGACCCGAGGTAACCGGCTGCACATCGCCATTCGCCGTTCACCTGGTCAAGGTGCGCTATGCTACCTTACCTACAGACACCAGTCGAGTCCACAGACAGAGCGCAGCCCATCGCTTCCCCAGCCTTCTCGTAGCCCGCAGGCACAGGATCTGGCTCTGGGCAGGCCTTCGTGCCTCAGTGACCGGTTGCCCAGACTTCAAGTGTCCATCTTCGCTCTACGCATGCGATCTGTCCCTCCCACCATGATGCGAATTCAGGCAATGAGCCCAGCTCTGCCTGCTGAGTGCAGCACATACCAAATCTGCAGGAAACTCGATCTGCTTCTCTGGGTCTGTGTTGTCCTGGGTTTACAGCAGGCTGTCACGGCTTGACACTTGCTGCTGCGCAGCGGTTCGACACAAAGGCCGGACGATGCCGGACGTCTGCAGAGTCTCCTTACTACGCTGCTGCTCCCTTAGCGCCGGGCGGTGGGGCAGGTCGCCAAAGCCGCGCCGGTGCCGATGTAGAAGGGCTCTCGGCAGGAAACCTGCAAAAGGCCAGTTAGAGCCGCTCACCCCTAGCCCAGCTAACAGTGCCCTGCCGGCCTCGCATGTGCTGCCTGGCTCGAAGAATTCGGGACAATTGGAGACGTCGTATCCTCAGAGAACGCAGAGCATTGAAGAATATTGGAGAGTCCTATCAGAACTCACGGCTGTCTCTGAGCACGCGACGGCAAGTGTCGATCATGCGCTCGTCAATTCCACTGCAGTTCACGATGGGAGGGCATCCTTCGAAGAGAGGCTCCAGCAAACACCTTTCGCTTGCGGCTTGAGCGAGCACGGCTCTGCGGCTCTGAGAGTCTCTCTGAGAGTCTCTGAGATTCCAAAACGTGCGCTGGGAGTCCGGCGCCGACAGAGGCTCAGAGCTGTTCGACATTACCTCGGACGTCTGCACACGCAGCAACAGGAAACGACCGCCAACGCAAGTCCCAATGGCACAAGTCCGTTTGACTCGCGGTGATGCGGAATAGCCCTCGGCGCACCTCAGCCGCAGGCAAAGCATGCACCTCAGGCATTACGCTGTTGGAGGCTGAGATTCGAGCGCATAATTCTCCTCAGCTGCTCCGCCCTCTGTTCCAGTCCTCGCGATTCTCAGCTGGTCCGACACCACTTCCACACTGAGATCGCGCCGGTGAACAGAGAATAGGGTACCGAGCAGATGGAGAGGGGTGAAGCTAGGAGACCTTGTTCTACATGGCTATCTTGCGAGGTCCTGACATAGCCATCAGGTAGAGGATCCGGATCCGGGCAGAATGATGGAGTCTCGCATAAGGGAAACTGAAAAGGCCTGGCAAGAGGGCATCAAGAGCAGCGTAATCCTCAACAAACAAGCACTGCCGTGAAGAAAAATAAGGAAGCCACAGCCCAAGCTTGCCCCTCTGAGCGCAGAGCCGATAGATCGTCGCTCCGGTCACAGGGTCGAGTTCTGTCGCCTGCTTACTCAAGTGGACAAGGGCGATGAGGATCTCTGTTCGTGACATCTACTGGTTCTGCGAAAGGAACTACATTCAAGACGGCAGCATTGTTCGGATCGTAGTTGCGCTGCCAGGTCACGCTGCTTGTCACATTTCTGGCTGCTGAGATTCGTGCCATCAGCTCTTGATCAGGAACCTCGACTCTCTGACTTGCCAGGAACTGCGCAATAGAATGCAGGATGGTCCTCTAGCAAGTTGAGCGCGAGGCTGTGTTGTCGTCGGGGCAAAACGCAACGACACCGTCTCCAACAGCTGGAAGCCTGCAAAGAACCTGCTGCGTCATCTAAGCTGCCCTGAAAAATGATATGCGATGCTTTGTCTCGACCCGAGGACCACAGTCTTTTCCCATCCCCAATCCGTCCGCCGGAGTGCTTCGAGAGGAGCCAAGTGCCCATACATCATCATACAGCAACAGCTACTGGCAGCTGGCACGTTCGCACCTCGCAGGTCTCACCCCCATCCAGCCGCGAAGTGCAATTCGAGATGTCCTCATGCTTCGTTGCACAATCTCAGGCTACACTCGCGCCACCCGCAGCACGACACGGAGCAGATTTACAGTTGTGGTAAGTCCCTTGCATACTGGCATTGGGGAACGGTGAGGTTCATCGGCCTTTGGCTTGCATGAGTGCTGAGCTCAGGGGGATTCTGCATTTTATGCCTGCTGAAGTTGAGGGTCGGACTTGCATGTTTGCAGAGTTGCGCATCCCTGCATGAAGAAAGGAAGCTATGGTGATGGCAGTCTTCGGCAGCAATTCTGTCAGCATCCTCTAGGGAAACAAGCAAACACCCGGGACGCTCGTGGGCTCTGGCAAACTGTGGAGTGGCCTCAAACATGAGCTCCGGCTGGCATCCAGCGTCAACGGCGCACAACACCTGTCGGGACACAGCACTCACGTCAGCTGGGTCCCCTTGATGAGACTTTTGCGCCTGAGGAACTCCACCATAGCCTTCTTCACAGTACCAGCTGCCTTCCTTCAGGGTGCGAGCACTACACGTCTCGGTGCCTCAGCGTTGTGCCCTGAAACTAAAGAGCTTTGCACCTGCTCGGGCCCGTCGTTGCTGATAACCTCATCTTGTTCTCACCCAAATCGCAAAATGAGCGGGGATGTCACGCGGTTGAAGCATCACGCATGCGTCACGTGACAAGTAGCAGGTCCCTCCCTCATTCTCTCAGTTTCGAACTCCTGCGCGGCGTTGTCGCTGCTCTGTGCGTCAATACTGCCCCCGATGGGCTCGCAAGCATTACATTGTCTATGCATCACACAAGCAATCTGAGGCAACTTTTGTTCTCGATCAGCCTTGAATGAATTTGTGCTTAATTGATGTGTGCATGCGACCTCCAGCTGCTGCCGCACGAGCCTCCGATTTGACGCACACGACTGTCATAATCGAAAAGTTGATGTCTTTCGCTCTGCGTCCACAGTACTCTACTGCCGTCTTGATTGTCTTGATGTTGAACGCATCGACCCTGTCGGTCCGCTCGGTCTGCTCATCAATGAATTTTGTAAACCACTCAACTAGTTCTTGATCCGGGGCCGTTTGTGGTTGTCGTGGTCGTGCTGCCTTTCGTCATACCTCAGATTCTGGCCTTCTTCAGACCACCCGGGCAAGCGACTCTATGATGCTTGCACTGGAGTCCACGTTCACCCATGAACGTCCTCGTGTGCCGTCAGTTCTGGCGGATGCTGTCCTGCATGATCTTCGCGTTGAAGTATCCATGCAGTTATAATTGTACTTGATTCTGTGCTCGTGTCGCTGAGGCCTGCGCCAGAACTGTCGCGACTCCTGGCGATCCTCTATTTCTGCTTGTCTCATAAGATGTGCCGGATCAGGCGGATCTGCTTGACTCGTCGGACATCACACGTCTACCGGGGAAAAGTGCAAAAGCGCGGTGCCTGAGAAACGTGTGAACTCGAGTCGGTTCCCTCACATGTTCGTGATGCGAGCTTATTTTGCTCAGGAAAACAATCTGAGCAGAGTTGATAGAGCTCGCGCGTTCACTTGCTCGCCAGGGTGAGCGCAAGCACGTACGCACTCTGCCGTTCAATCACAGGGGGCAAGTGCTGTGGGGCTTGAATCGCCAGGTCGAAACCCTAAACATGCGTAGACAACAGATTCACCTACCTGCCATGGTGGTCGACGCACTCAAGCAACGTCCATGAACAAACTGCACAATCGTAATGCCACACTTCCTGCAATTGCCATGTTGATCCATGTTGCTCAAACAGATTGGCCTTAAGGGACGGGGGGTTCCGAAGGAGGGAGGGGAGGGCCCCCAAACACCTGCAATTCCCCTGCCACCTTGCCGTTGCGGGGAGGATCCCACCTCGCTAGTGCCCTTGAATTAATCATTGCGTGGTGGCGGGGTGGTGGCGGGCGGCCCTCTCCCCCCTTCCTGTTGACTATCGCAGATAAGGTCCTGGTCCCAGACACGATTTTGACCTGGATCACTACTACTTAGCCGAATTGTAAACCCGCGAGCTCAATGCCTGAGAAACGTGTGAACTCGAGCCGGTTGAACCAGTTTCCTAGTTCTTATTTACGTGGGAAGTGCAGTGCCTGAGAAAGCTTGTGAACTTTAGCCAGTTACCTAGATCAAAGGCATGACAGGGCTTAAATACGTGTCCGCGTCTCTGCACGTGCGCAAAGGGCCCGGCCCCGGTTTGATTGTAGCCTTCCAGGCTTTGGCTTGGCTCAGCATCTCAATGTGCAAAACTTGATGCCTTCTGGCCATGGAGACAGATCATCTGGACACTCGCAGGCCAGAGGTGGATCCTCGGTCTAAGGGATGACATGGCATTTGCCTCTTGTTTCAACACGAAGCCTGGACAGCACCTACGCCCCCGACGTAGATCAGTGGCTGCGAAGGGTCGGTGTTGTTCCTTTGCCGCCAGCAACAATCTGAACAAATCGAAGTTTCCCACTGATGCTCGTAACTGCAGCCAAGCAGCAGAGGACATCTTCCCACCGTTGCAGTACCAACCTCGACAGACCAGCACGAAGTGAAAAAGGACTCACTGCACTGCTCCTTTGTGGCTAAAACAGAATGATGCACTTCTAGGATGTCCGAGTACAAGGCGAAAAGACCACGGCAGCTCACTTGGCACTCTCCGCCAGGCTTCACCGTCTGGAAGCCGTCATCTTGGCATTTCGGAGGGCTATCGAATAAAGCATGGGCAGGACAAGTACGAGGAGGTGTGCATGATCGTTGAGATCGGTAGCCGTATGACTACGAACAGCGATGGAAATCCGAGGAGGCGGCTACCGCCAGGCACATCCAACAAAGGTCCGTCCTGAGCGGACAGCCAACTTCGAGACACGAGCTGTTCCGGAGTCTATCGACCTTCAGCTGCTGGATTCTGCTAGCGGCCAGGCACCAGCCGAGGCCCCGTCCAGACAGAGGTTGATGCTGTGCCTCGGCGGACGCTCCGGTGCTAGGTGCTGAGCCTCGCCACGGCCCGGCACCTGCATGCGTCGAGGCTCGCCGGGCCAGCCTAAGCCAAGCCAGGAAGCAGATTGATGACGACTTGGAGCGTGCGGCATCGGCCTGTTGAGGCCCTGAGGCCGATGCACAAGCTTGTAGCGGCAGGCAGCCCGACAAACGAGCCCCGGTGCTGCAGTCCTCTTCGAAGACACAGGTCACCTGCGTCTGCATCGCTGCAACATCTGCAACATCTGCTTTTTGTGATCCCTTAACCAAATGGCAATGGACCTCCGGCCGACCGGCAAACTTGTCTGCGCAGAAAATGGTCCCGTTCTGGATGTCCTGCAGCGACACTACAGTGTCATTACAGACATGTGTGCTGCCTTTCCATGGTATCTGAGCCCAATAGACGGCAACTCCGCAAGACGGAATCTGTGTGCGTGAACCACAACTGCAGGGGCACTTCAGCTCTGGACCGGCCTCCTGCATCTCATAGCCCGCTGGAAACTCATCTGGGAGGTCACAATCGGGGATGCTGCAAACTGGCGGTGTAAATGTGGGCTCCTGCGTGGAGTTCACAGACGTGCTCTCTGGTTTGATGGTATTCCAAAACAATACGCTACCTACCTACATTCAGGCTACTTGCTCAGTTGAGAAGCAGTGCATGAGGTCTCGCTACTGAGAAATCGCGCACCAGTAGAAGAGGCACCATCGGCACAGATACAAACTATTTGGCACAGTGTGAATTTCCTTGACTTCTGTCCTGGTCGGGGTCCACATTTTCCACAGGACACCTGAGTCAGTGAAAGCTGAAGCAAATGTCTCGGGTCGGCAAAGAGGCAGGCAAGCTTGCGGGGCGAGGCTCGTTGCCCATACTGGCGTGCCAATCGATGGTGAACGGCAGTGGATCTGACCTTGTGCAGCTGCTGCTGCTACAAGTGTGACGTAACATGCACAGAGCGAGTCTGATGATGAGTGCAAGATCAAAGGCCGCAACAAGACTCACCACCCATGAGCCCTGCACAGCCTGTCGAAGACACGTTTGTCAGATCACTCCAGATACAGTATGGGCAGGGTCGATGCAACACCTAGCTTTGACAGATCAGCTGAAACCCCTGAGGATCAGCCCTGCCCCCTGTCCGGTGACACCGTGACACCTATGGCTTCGAAGTAGCAGCTGTCCAGCTCCAGAAGCTTGCAGGGCTGCTGCCTGAAGTGCATGCCATATTGTCTGCAAGCGTTGACCCTCGAAAGCTCCAGGTGCGGAGCTCGATGCATCCCCGCAGCTGCAGCTCGCTGCCACAGTCGCCCGTCGGCTGTTCACAGACCTCGAACTCTCCCCTCCACCTCCTCCTTTCCGAGACTCCCGCCGAGCCTGGCCTCCTGGGCAGAGCCCACGAAGCCCTCCGCGCAGGTCCAGTTGCTCGTGTTGCTTGGCCGGACGTAGCCTCCGCCCGGTGTCTCTGCCGTCTGAGCAGAGGGACACATGCAGCCCTCTGCCTGGTGGTGGCTGGACTGGGTCGTAGCAACCGCCCTCGGGAAATATCCTGTCAGCCGAACCTATCTCTGTCAGCCAGACCACCGTTTACCAGAACGTTGAGAAGTGTCTTTTGCGGACGTCACTTGCTTCCAACATTCAGCGAAGTCCTTTCACAAATGGGCGGCCCCGATGCGAAGTCGAGCTGCCTGCATCCGCCGACTCTGCCCGGCTCTCACGTACAAGTCACTAGCAACACAAAGAGCCTGTTCATACCAATATCTAGTAGAATTTGTAGAACCCCAGCACCAGCAAAGTGAACCTTCCAGGTCGCGTGTTCTCCGCGGGGCAAGAGGCCATGAAAGGACCGCCCACATGACCTGGCAAGGCAAGCACGACGAAGAAACGAGCAGTCTTGTGCTGTCGATCGTAGCTGCCATGAGCATTCAGATCTGCGTGTTAGTTGAGGGCTCCAACCCCAACAGGTACAGCCCTACTGCAACTGCTCAAGTTTTCATGAGGGCTTGGAGAAGGGAGCGAGAGGATGTGAATGTGCAGGGGGCCTAGCTGATGATGGAGTTCACGTGATGCTAGACTAGACGTTCTCAGCGAGATGCGAAGACTTAGCGCCGACATACACACCAAAGGCAGCATGAGCCTCCGCACAAGGGTGCACCAAAATTGAGACGCCCTTGCACCGCCTTCGCCACAAGTAATGGTGCAGCTCTCTCCCGGCATCAGTGCGCGGGCGCAAGCGCTCTCCTTGCAAACGTTGGCAGGAATGGCTCATTGAAGGTAACATGCCCAGGCCACTGCATGCACGCGCGACGTGCCCTGCGTGACCTCAACATGGTTCCCGGTTTGTACAAGGTGCAAGGAAGGTGAAAGTCTGCAATCTATGCCAATTTTACACTGAGCCATCCAGAACGACCCGAAACGATTCCCGAGCTGGCCAGAGGAAATGATGTTGTCTGACAGCCCACAGCTGCAAGCTGCAGCAGACCCAGGCCTGACCCCGTGTCCGTAATCGCACTAATGTTTTTCTTGCATTCGTGGCTCCGTTGCAAGGCCGAGGAGAGCCCATGCGCAGGATGTGCTGCAGGCAAAGAGCCGTTACTGGAGTAGAGCCGCCCCTTCCGCAGACGACTCTATGCCGAGTTTTCAATATGTTGAAGACATGATTCTGTTGACATGTTGGGTTAAGGTGAGTATCTTCCGTGGCCTTTGCCGCCGCACAAAGCTCATTTGGATTCACTCGATGGCATAGAAACAATTGAAGCTAGATCTTCCGGCGGCTACAACGACAAGAGTGACTGAATCTGCAGCTTCGGGTCGTTCACTCCGCAAGCTTGTGTCAGAAATGGCCGGCATGGAAGGAGCCTCGCACCAGCACTGCTTCACTCATCAAGTGATGCAATTCTTGCAAATCCCCTGCCTAGAGCATCCGCTGAAAATGGTTTCACTGGAACATCCGCTCAGCAGCCGACAAGTCCTCACATGCAGAGGCTCAAAATTTGCCAGGTGCTGCGGGCGCTTTGCAATCTTTAGCATAGCTTTTTTCGGAAGGCTCCGCACCTCAATGCATTGCCTGTGAAACCTTCTGCACACGTCCAGTCGCCAACCTGAAAAAGCAAACAGAATCCTGCAACTGCTGCAAGCGAAAGTGCGTTCCGCCACTCCGAACCTCCAACTCGTCGGTGGCATTCCAATCCCATGAATCTGGTGACCTGCATGCTTCAATTCTCCGGACACAGCCGTCTGTTCACTTCGCTGCTAAGCCGACTGCCCATCGAAAGAGTCATGGACCTTGAGGGCCGTACACACGACACAGAGACTATGCTGCAAGAATGCTGCCAGGCGTGTGAAACCCACCAGGGCCGTTGCATAGCCGGGAGGAGGTGGCACATTTGGGCAACCTAGCTCACATTCTGGCGGGGTCCAGACCTCAACCAAAAAGAAGGCGCAAAAACTCTCTTGACCAGAGACAGAAATGACAACACTTAAGCGACTTCAGTTTGTAATCCGCCGAGGCCACAGGCCTCAGGCGTCTTAGGCGTTAACTCAGACCCTCTATCTAATCCTCCTCTGTACGGCCCGAAACGCCAGCCCCCCCTCTCTGACCCGCTGTTGAATTTCGACCTGCCCCGCCGCCCTCCCACGCATCTCCCTCCCCCATCCCCACCCTCCCCCCCCTTTCTGGTCCCTCTACCCTCCTCGTTCAACTGCTGGCAATCAGCGTAACTGAGCATTCCCGGCGTGTCACATTGCTGCTCTCCGCCAAACCGAGGCGGGCGGCGCAGCGTTAAAATTAGCCGCCTCGAGTAAACAGCTGTGCTCCGTGCTGGAGGGGTTGTAACGTTTGTGTTCGTCGATGGACACTGCACCAGGCTGCTCTGCGCCTGACCATATTATCGCAGCATATTGGATCTCAAAGTCGTGCGTGCAAGCTCCCACCGTGCCTGGTACGGCGCCTTGCAACTCACCTGATTGAAACTTTCACTCACACTGCTCTCGAGCACACCAGTCGACTTGCGGCCGTTGCCTCGCAACTTTCACCCGGCTGGAGAGCTGCAATCACCAGACGGCCCTGCGTGCAAGCTCACTCAGTCTCGCGGTCTGTCAACCGGAAATCTCCGTCCTCCACGATCTGTGCGTTGCAGGATGAAGCAGCGAACATACAAGTGTCCTGCAAAGGGGAAAGGCGCTGCTGTCTTCTCCGAAACGAATCACCTTTGTGGAGGGCGTGCAGGCCTAGGACCTCTCATTAACAAGCAGGGAGTGGGAGAGCGAGCGGCTCTGCACTGAGCGTGACAATCCGTAACCCCCCCTCCCACCCTCCTCCAACACTTGCAAGTGCGACTTCGCTGGAGAACTGCACATCCGACATCTCTCTTGCTGTCTCCATTCCTCGTTCTCCCTCTCTTTACTTTTGAGATCCCACCACCACGCTCTTGCTCTCTGGTCCTTCCTTCCTGCCAACGCTGCCAACAGGTACCTACACCCGATGAAGAAGTTCGCGCGAGGCCCTGAATTGTTTGGATTTCAGTTGGGCCTGGGCGTGCTGAGCCCAACCCAACTTTCAACTCCTCGTCTCGCGCCATTTCTTCCCGGCTGTCGTTGCTTCAGCAGCGTGTCGAGATCATACTTCAATCAGATCGGGTGGCGCCTTGAGTTAATTGAAATCTCCGTTTGATGAACAATACAGACAAAGTCAAGTCAGCCCTGCCTTTGCTTCCGCCTTACCTGAACCCCGTTCCTGACACGCCCCCTCTCTGACAAGCAAGCAGCCGAGGACATAAACTGTCCCCAACTCGTTATCTAGGCGCAGGGGACGGTTATAGGTACCAGGGCCCCCCATACATTCTGCGGCTTGTGGGAAGCATGTGAAACTAGTGAGTCCCCCCAGCTCTCACTCTCTTTCTTTCGCCAGGGCAAGGGCGAGAAGGGAGGGGCCCGGCTCCCCGCCGCGTGCGTTAGCGCCCCCGGCTGTTGTGGGACGAACAGTGACACATGCTTTCTCCACAGGGCTGTGACGACGATGGCGCCATAACTCCAACCACTCTTTCTTTCGCCAGGGATAGGGACAAGGGGTGTGACTCCAACCACTCTCTCTCGGTCTCTTTCTTTTCTTGGGCGCTGTGCGTTAGCTCCCGGCACAGGTCCTCGATGACAAATTGCGCACAGGGCTCGGCTACCTGATGAGCTCACCGTCTTGGGCGTGTTTCTGACTCCAAGACGCGGCCCTCACCCGGCAAAAGAATAACAAGGATTGACATTCATTGGCTCACTAGTTCCGATAATGGGCCAAGCTGCGACGCAACCCTCGAGGAAGCCTCGCACAGCACACTCTGGCTGCAGCATCCCATACTGGTTGTAGCGGTCCTGCCAGCTCAGGAAGTAAGAATTCGAGTACGAACCACACTTCAAACATCGGGGCCTGCTTCAGCCTGTTCTCCGGCTCTTCTGTGAGTTCGGCGACACATTGCTTTTGAGCGAGTCCTCCATGCCAAAAACAGCACAGCGCGACAGCCGCAAGAGGACCATGCAAGGGCCTGTGTAGCCTGCAGCACAACTCCACAGGCCTGCAGCCTCGGATGGGCAACAGAGAAACCTGAAACTGAATTACATGAACGGGTGGGCAACAGCTCAAGAACCGAGAAAAAAGCGCAAATATGGACGCGGTTTTAGTCCGTTGTCTGACAGTCCGACAATGCCCTTCCAATAGCGTCACGACCGCCAGTCCCGCAGCATGAGCATCAGAAGGAGTTAAATGAATCAAATGTGTCTAACATTATCCGCCCTGAGCTGTGCGGCATAGCCAGCCGTCCCCAACCCTAATTCCAACTTCAGTATCGTAAACATGTGCTGACTTGGTGATCAAGCTGCGGTCAACGAAAGCTGTCTCAAATAACAAGGGAGGCGAGAGACCGGCGCAGGATTTCAAGTGTTCAAGCTCTCATTACGGTTGCAATCAATGCTACTGTTAGCATCCGTGTTGCTACCGTTATCGTAGTCTTGCGTGCATAGATGTAGCTTTTGTCCTTGTTGCAAATAGCGGTCCTGGTGGCGTTGTCGTTGTTGTTGCTGTCGTAAAGCCTACTATTGAATGGCCCACTGTTGGCTGGAGTTCCCTGAAAACCACAACTATTGACCCCGCGCTTCTAAAAACCTAGCCTTCGTAACTTGATCCAGGTGACTGCATCGATCGGCTCGTAGTTCGCAGGAATTGGCACAGGATCCATGCACTCCTGCAGTGCCGCTCACATCGATCTCGCTGCATTCTTGCAGCCATGATGCAAAGGTGTGCTGGTGTTGTGCATCTCTCCTCGATCTCACAGTCTGGCAACTCCCCGATGAGACCTCCACGGAAGCAGTACTTCGCTGTACTTCGCTGGCAGCGACATGGAATGCACCGTTGCATCATGGAAACGATTCAAAATTGTTGCCAACAGACGAGACATGGCCGGCAAGTATCACGTCTCCGGCCTCCTTCAGGCTCTGTATTGTTTTGCGGACAGTGCCTAAGTCATCGCAAGACGCAAAGTTTGTCAGAACAACTCATACCCACGGCCCAGCGGCTCAGAACCTTGCATGATGCGGGCGGTACCGTTGAAGGGCGCCCGGCACTTCACCTGCCGCTCCACGAAAGTCCAACTGCGCAAAGGGTACTAGGCACATGTCTCCATCGAGCGTGATACTACTGCGGACAACCACGCCCGAACAGACATAGCGTGTCCTTCTACTGGTAGCTTTTTTGTGTTTAAATGTGATTGAACCGCCACTGAGCTTCTGAAACGATCTGGAACAAATCCATCGAATGGCCTCGCAGCTAGTGCCGCGCTGAAACCCTCCACAGTCACTGACATCGTACTTGCACGCCTTCAGAGGTCAGCCCGGCATGCTCTGAGGAGACTCCTAATTCAAGACTCCATGTCTAGTGAGCTCCAGGCATCCAGGCCCGGGATGGTACCTTGCAGATATCAGACATGGGCTTCAGCTGGCCACAGCAAACTCAACCAACTCGCTGAGAGCCGCTAGCCTTTGCAGCCACGGCACACGGCAGTAGCTCTCTGCAGCCCTCGAGGGAAACTGCCTGTTCTCGAATGCTTGAAGCAAAAGCGGCCAAACGCAAGCGCTGGCCTGGTCACAGGCGCCACGCTGGCAGCAGCTCCTTGACTTCGGGGATGAGAAATGAGAAGCCAGAAGAGCTTAGGATTCAACAGGCCCAGTAGCAAAACGGCAGTGAGAAACAGAAGCCCAGGCTTGGTCAAGGTCGAGGGGCTTTGTCACGGCCTCCCCGATGAAGCCAGGCGCGCATCTCCACCTGCCGCCGAGGACCTTTCACAGCAAATCCAGCCCTCATCTCGGGCGGCGACCATTCATTAGCTAGACAAGGTCGTAAAGAAACAGACATTGCAGTACTCTGTTGCAGAAACGCGGGGCCTTCTCGTAGCCTGGGCTGAGCGAGTCACATCGTAAAGAGCACCTCATCGGCAGCACATGTCAGACAGTCGACTTGGCACAGTTCTTCTTTGAGGTTGCTGAGGCTCACTCTTCGGCGGCCAGAGGCTGTTGTACATGACACCATGCCTGTCCAGGTACCAGTCCTCCGCAGGCACCAGGGTGACAAGTCGGGGCAACCCACAAAGCCCGAACTTGCCTCGGGCACGATCAGTGGCTGGTTCGGGTCAAGGTTGTTTTCCGGGCATCTGACCAAAGCCTGCCGCTTTGGATCGAAGCGAGGCAGACTTCCCAAGATCCCATGCCTCTGCACCCGTCCAGGGATCGCTGCAGCGGACCAAGCAGCTCTGGCCCGGCTGGACGCTGTCACAACCTCTCAACCGGCTCACATTGCAACACCTTAGCAGCTTCCGACCTCCGATCACTGCGATCACGCCTTCTATCTCGTAGCGGTCGGAATGAGGCAGCTGCAGCTGCAAAGGCAGGCAAGGCTGGAGCTGCAGGCCTGTGCTGCCGCGCTGTGCAGTGCCCGAACACTCGCACCGCCTCTCACCGCGGCCAGGGAGGTTTCTGAGGCAGTCGCAACCTGATAGTTGCAAGGTCGTTGTGCAACCATCCAGGAGCAGGCATTCGCCTGTCGGTGGCAAATCTTCCGAAGCAGCCCTGAAACTAGACACGGTATGGGCACTTTCTGTGCAGCCATGCCACTCTCGGCTTGACCGATGTAGCCAGCAGCACATTCGAACCGTCGCCCGCCTGCACATTCTTCGTCACCCAGAAATGCAAGCTACGACTGGAAGACACTCTGTCGAACTAGCTACATCAGCAGACATCTGATGCTACTCTTCAGAGCCATGAACCACCCAGCTCGCCATGCTCCCGACTCTACGCGAAGCCATGCCATGGCTGAGTCACTGAGTCACCATCATGACCCGAAGGCGAAAAAGGCGCTGTCAGAACCCAGCTGCAGGCGAGGAGCCCCCGAAGTCAACCTGCATCCCGTAACCTGCCGTCCAATCCAAGAACGGATTGCCATTGACTTCATGCAGCCATCTCGCTACACGCTGCAGCTCTGCTTAAATCCTTCATCAGTTGGATACCTTCGGGTAGGGGGTCTGGATCCCCGCAGTAGAGGCTGCAACCAGGCAGGCGCTCGATGTCCTTTGCAGGAGAACAAGCAGCAGGCTCACGTCAGGAAGCCTTGGCATCATTGAGGGTGCGGCAGCTTGACGCTCGGGATCGACATTGTCGGCAGGGCATGTCGCAAACGTCGGCTCCCCTGACATTGAGCACAACACAATCCAAATCGCAATCGTGTTCGGACCGATCGGCCAAGACTAGTGACTGCTTCCTGGCTGCTGCCGGTCCAGATCTCTGGCAGTGTGTCACAGATGAAGATGTATCGAAGCTGCACTGTGTTTGTCAGTACTGAGTCAAGAGATGCTGCTCGCAAGTGCCTTGGTAGGCATTGCCGCAGGTAATCATGCACGACTCACCAGCACCTGGGCGAGCAACCCGGGCGTGGTAGCCACCCCAAGACCATCGTGGACCATGAGCACCATATGGAAACTTCCGAATACTGCCGACTTACTCACACCTCTCCTTCTACTGCAGTGAATGCAAAAGCGACAACCCATGCTTTCAAGCAAGATCCATAAATCCCTGGCCCGCCACACATTTTCCAACTGCTTTCACATCGGTGGCGAAGGCTTCGGAATAGACTTCATTCCAAGTCGTTACTCGATATCTTGCATTTCTGACTGAAGTGTCTCTGAAATTTCTGTTGACAGACCCTTTCCGGGCCGGTACTGCAGACTGAAGCAGAGGAGAATCGATGTTAAGTACTGGGTCCGGATGCGTGATTCTTTCGCAAAACTGACCACGGTATGCATCGATGCATGAACGATGGACAGGTAGAGATCCAACCAAGTCGATCGATTGAAGCATGAAGAGCGAAGGGTTGTCACGCCCACAGCTCCGCCTACCCTTGGACCGCTAAAAGCTTGAACTTGAGGCCGCAACCGATCGGGGTGGAGCAGTCTGTGGTGTTATAGCGGCAAGGGTCCTCAAACGCTCCCCATGCGAGAGGCTTTTTGTCCCTGCAAAATGCAAGGCCATGCGGCGATGCGAGTGCTATGCAAAGGCTCTCCTCGACTTCTACCGGCTTGCAGGGAATGGCCGGCGTGCAGCCTCGAAGCACCAGCCTTCCAACCAGGCAAAGGCCAAGAGGAGGCATTTTCGGTGGTTGAAGAGCCACAAGGTCATGCCCGGCCTCCCACATGTTGTGCAGCTGCTGAGCACCTCGCTTCCACCAGGAGAAGTTTAAACGACCGCCTGCCTCCTGGGGTCTGTCGGGCTCCGGACCGTTCCCCCGTATCCCGGAGCACATTGCCAGCCATTCTCCGTCTTCGCATAGCCACGGGGCACTGGCTCCGGGCCTTGTCAGCTTCTCGCATGCCCAGGTCCTGTGCACAACTTGGGGCCCAGACAATCTGGAACTGCGCAGCTGGGCGGGAGAAAGTCCACAGTCCTGGACCCATCAAAAGCTGAGCGTGAGAGCGCGTGAAAGTGAGGGTCGCCGCCCAATTGATCCGAGTCCCGAGCCTCTCGGGATCCGTGTTCCTCGTTGGGCACTTGCTCTGCGAGCTCAGGCCGATGTAGGGCTCGCGGCAGCGAGTCTCGGCAGAAACACGTGAGTCAAACACGCTCCGCTGCCATGTGAACGAAGCAGCCAGGAAACTTCGCAGCTTTGTCCCAAAGGGACGGGTCTCTGACAGTCCTCCACGTCGAACTGACACCTGACAACGCCGGCTTCCGGATCGCTCCGCTGCAGAACGGCAGAACACCGCGCGCACCTGTCCTCCGGCTCAGGCAGAGCCTGGGGGCAAACGCTTCTCCATGGCCCAAGACCGAGAAACGCAAAAAATGACACATCACACGCCCTCTGTTTGCTCTGGCCTTGCAGCTCACAAGCTTGTCGCAGCCAGTCATCGTTACCTGGCGATCTTTGCAAGAACTGTTGCAATACCAGCGACCGCAGTACACACTGTGACTCATGCTGGCATCATGCAGCAACTCAGCTACAGGTCTGGTGGCTTGCGTATTCAGCTCCTCATGGACAAGCTAGCGGCATTGAAGCTGCTAGAGTTGAAGCCAAGCTGTGCACTTCGCCTCCCATGAGCAATCCTCTGGCACAACGCTGCAAGATCGATCCACAATGCCTTGGAGCAGTCTTGGCAAGAATCAAGAAGACTCGCATTCCGCCAGCTGCAACACGAAACTCTCAGGAGTCTGAACAGACAGCCTCTACCCAAGCATCACAAGCCTCTTTGCCAACGTTTGTGAAAAGCTTTCGTTCGCACACGGTCAGCGCATGCATCCGGAAAATCTGCAAGCACGCATAGGTGCAAGTTGAGCGGCCTGTGTAGCCCACGTCGCATCTGTAGCCCGTCGCTTGCCTGGCATTTGGACGGCATCAAAAGGACAAGGAATCTTCAAAGGGATTCGAACTTTACAAGACAAGCTGGTGCCTGGTGTAGCCCTCTGGCAGCGGAAGCGGGTCAGGGCCTGAACTGGGAGAAGCCCAGACATGCAAAAAAAATGAACAAGTTCACAAAGGGATGAAACGCCAGCCGCAAGCTGAGACTTGAATCTTGGACCGTGGGCTGCGCAGGTACTGAGCGTGCGGCAGTTCAAGTTGCACCAGGGCACCTCGAAGTACAGGGGCGCCATGGGATCCGAGTTGTTGGCCCAGCAAGTAGCCGGAAAGCCTTCACCTGCAGGTCTGCCGAGCAATCCGGTTCTGCTGTAACCGAGCTGTGGCAGGGGGTGCCTTCGAATGGCGTGCGGCAAGCAATTCGGCAGCTGGTCCCAGGCGCCAAATCGCCACAACTTGACCAGTCGTACCTGGCAGCTTGACATTGGCATGCTACTCATGCTCTTAATCCTGGGTCTTTCCTGTGTGAAGAACGCGTTCACGGGAAGATCGGTTTCATGCCATGTCTCTGGTGCGGTGTCGACCAGACTAGACTCGGCCTTCGCTTTGCTAACACTCTTTCCGTCGGCATGAGGCGTGTTCTGACTCCATGCTTGGTGGCTCCTGCATCGGCTACGTGCTCTCATCTGCGCGAACATTCCCATCATACACTACACAATTAGTGGTAGCACCTATGCGACGATATGCCCACACCGCCTGCAGGAATCCAGCGTTGGAGCTTGGCAGGGCCGAAGCTCCGCGCAGCCAGTGAGGCTCACGTTCCGCCCGCACTGGTCGTCGATCTCACAAAGCTTCACCTCTGCTGGAGCTGCGAAGGCTTCGTTGACTTGTAAGACACTGTAAGACCTGTGAATACCTGCCTGCGATATCCTGCGATGTACGTGTATTTACAGGATTCTACATCACATCAACATGGGTGACTGCACGCAACCCCGACTGAGTTGATGACGGCTTGGCCGGTGAAGCCCTCTGCACAGGACCAGCGGTCTCGATCCTTTCAGTGCCGGCAGCACGCGAATGACTGAATGACCCTGTAGCGAACTTTTCATGTCTTCTCCAGGCCAGGCGGCAAAGTCGTAATTGTAGCCAGGCCCCACTTCCTGTATTGCTGAGCTGGGGCAACGTTTCTGGCATTGCGGCCGAGTGTAGATCCTGAGCTGCTCAGCCCGCGTCAGCATCTGTCGAGTCGGAGGGAGAGTGAGGGAGTGCGAGCGAAAGAGATTGGATCCCGTATCTGATGCTTGTCCAACTGCGAAACCCCTGCATCCAAGCCAGTGCCTTGCGCAGGGCTGAAATGGAATTTCGGCTGCAGATGTCACAGCGCTGCTCCCCGCATCTCAAGGCTCAGCCCAGAAGGCTCCAATGTGAATTCATGGCTTACTGCTGGGTTTGATGTAAGAGATGATTGCAGTCCGACTCCAAGTTGACCCATCAGGCAACCCCCTTATGGTCAGGGCTTCCAGTACAGTACCTCTACCCCTCATCCTCTGCTTGTTGGATAGAGTTACTTGGCGGAATCTGACACCCTCGCAAATCCTGGCTTTCCTCGTGCTGTTCAATCATCTGAGAGTTCTCCTCCTTCTAGACTTTCCTGGGATTCCGACACCGAAAAGAACCTCCACTCCGAGAGCTTCAAGTCTCCTCCGTTTCTCCTGTTTCGTGTTCTCACCTGCTTTGCTCCTCCATGCCCAAGCAGGATGAAGCAGCTGGACTTCTTGTGGCTGTCCTATCACACTTGACGTCGAGTGCCCACGAGATTTCGGCAACAGAAGCTCACAGAGTGTGTCGTGAGATGGGCTTCTCTGAAGAAAGCTGTGTGCCAGAGCACGAGCAGACGTACTCTGTCAAACCCACTAAACACTCAAATGCGGGAAAGCTTCAGCTGGGCATCTGGATCCGTGTTCCTGAAGACCGCATTCATACGCAACAGCAGAACACTCACCAAACTGTGTGCCGCCCACTCAAACACTCGACTCGCTGCCAAGAGTCGTGCTGGGACACGCAGCAGTAACGCTGTTGCCCATAAATGGCTCCTGACAGTGAATCTGGCACGATGCGCCAGGCTGAACCTCAGATACTGTCCAGAGGTCTGCCATGGAGCACGTGTTGGGAGCAACAAGCGAGCTGTTTGGAGGAGTGGCGGCCCAGTGGGCGTGGAAATCGAGCTGAGCTTTGAGATGCTTGAAGTATCGACACACCCGAGCTTAGACAAGGTTGCAAATGATTCTCCCCCGGAGCCGGTAACTTTCCTTGAGCTGCGACCCAGGCGCGTTTTCACAGCCGCTGGTGTTGAAGCCACAGGAAGGGACGTCAGATCTGGAGCGATTGGACGCCATTCCAACACTTCACGCGAGCAATGCTGCTACTGGACTCTTGCGTCAACCCATATTAGCAGATCTTGGAAGATTTCAGCTGTGCTGTCATGTGCTGTCGCAGGTCTGCCGTACTGGTTTCCGCACTTGCAAGCCATGAATCTGTTGCAATCGAGAGGCACACCATCTTGAAAATCAGAGGCAGGATCGGGTCGACGGCATGGCAGAAGAGGCAAACAGCCAGAGAAAACAGCCTGCACTCATTGCACACATGCGAGGTGCAGGACGGTTTGGTACTTGAAACACCAACCACTCTGCAACCACTGATGCACCAAGGACTAAGGACCCATCGAAGCCTGCCTGCAGGACGCATGCGTCGCCAACCCGTAGCAGAGTGCACTCTCTCACCGCCTCCACAGCTGCAAGCATGGAAGACAACCAAACTTTCTTGGGATCACGAGCACATCGGTGCTGGGGCCCAGGGTAGTTGCAACCTTCTAACTCCACCACTTTGCCGGCCGGAACAGCACTATGCGTTGCAGCTTCAATAACTAAACTTATGCGAGGTCGCTTGCCTCCCCGTAATAACCGTCTCGGCAGGTCCACTGCCCCGTCTCCTGCACCTGGCACATGGCTCGATCTAGTCTTGTCGAAGTCTGCGCAGATCCTCTCAAGAAGTGATGCTGCTTTTCACCTGAAGGTAGCCGGATGGGATTGTCGCCGGGTTCGGGCACGATACCTGCGGCAAAACCGTCTTCGCCGCAGAGCATAAGCGCACCGTACATGGGGAGCCTTGTCTTGCTCCAAAGCCGCAACGCAATTCGGCAGCCGGAAGCTCAGGTTCGCCTGCTTTGGGCCCACGGCCGCAAGGGGAAGCCAGCGGAACCTTCGCGCGCACCTCCTCGCCCGAGATTCCAGAGGCTGGACACAGCGCAATCGACCTCACTGTGTTACACTTGACTGCAAACTGGACCCGGCCCGTTTCTGGCGAGGCACGACGCTCCAAGATAAGGCGCCTTGCAGCGCACCCTGCAAGAATCTGCGACACAAACTTCAAGGCCAAAGAGAACAGAGCAACCAAGAAGAACAGGAATGGCCTGCAGGACGAGCCCTGCGAGATTCCAAAACACTCCTTCAGAGTCAGCTTTGGGCCGCGAAGATGACCCGACTGCTTGCCGCACTAGCACCCCGCAACTCAATGACGCAAGCAAGGATTGGCAAAATTCAAAGGTGCATCGCCCTCCCTGGCTCTCCGAGACATCATAGATGCACGGATCGATGTCGGGTCCTTCTGGAGTGAAGCACGAAGTGAGGCTTTTCTTGAACAACATACGTCCGAAGGGATATTGCGTAGCAGCAATGCGAGCGACCTCGACAATAGGAGCACAGGCTCAAACTTGTGCTAGAAAGCGGACGCTCCTGGCAGATACTTCCCAAGCAACACACCATGCTCGAAAACTTGGGCAGAAGATTCTCCTCCTGCAGAACGGACTGGCCCTGCCCCACGCACAGCTCCGAGCGCTTCGTATTGAAGCCTTCGCACCATGGCAGCGTCTGGGCTGGGTGCACTTACATGAGGGCAATGCAAAGCATGCGAACGGGCACATCGCACACATCTCGGCACGTAGTACGGAAAGTGAGTACTCAGCCAATTGAAACACTGGAAACGCATTGGCCACTCACCTGGAAATGTCTGTGTTGATAAGGTCGTCGTTTCTTGCAGGCGGCGTCGCCAGCGTAGAACGTGCTCAGCGTGCCGCCACTTGCTGCGATTCGCAGATTTCCTGAGCGTTTCAACAGTTTTGACTTCATCGGCAGAAGCACTTCAGCTGTGCTTTGCGAAGCGCGAGCCAGGCAGCTGGATGCTCTTGGAAACCGTTGGTCTCCAGGGTTCGTCGCTAAGCACACTGGTGCTGCATTGGACCACGAGCAGCCTGACAGGCTCGTCTTCAGCTGGCAGGCTTGCACAGGGCTTGCACGGCTACAGCAGCCTGAAGCTGGCAAGGTACAATGCCCAAAGCCATGCCGGCATCAGGCCGTGGGAAGCCGGTCTACATTGGTCTCGGAATGTGTGTTACGATGTATGCAGTTTAGCGACTGATGCACCTGTACACTGTACATGAAACATGCTGCAAATCCGCGTGTTTTTCAGCCATTGCTACATCCCGACCCTCGCATCTCGATTTACAGCTTTTTGGTGAAATGTGCCGTGCAGACTAGCAGTCACTAGCACACAAACACAGGATGCCAGTGCTTCGCATCTCATCTGCTCACACTCGTAGATTTTCGTTAACTGAAGCTGGGAGCAGGGCATCGAATCGGCTGGACTTGGCAGAAGTTGACGGCAGGAAACTCATGTGGACTGTTCGACCTGTCGAGTGACACCGTTGTCCAAACATTTTGCTCACGACCTGCTTTCTGGCAGGCCACCCTAAATGGCCGTCGGCACCTGTCTGTACAGCCCGCTGGCATAATGAGCAGCTGGAAGCAGCAAAGCTGTGGGCATGGTGGAGGAAGCTTTTGAATCAGCCCTGTCTTGCCATATCACTCCACTGTTGCACGCAACTCGACCCGCAAGACTGCAGAGGTCGCAGTCCCTGAAGCACTATCTGAAACGGGCGGGTGCCCTACATGAAGCATCCCGTCCAGCATCAACCCCAAACGCTGGAACGGGAAGTAGTTTTCAGCTTGCGGCTTCTTGGCAGGTCAGAGGGCGCCTCTTGGCGCCCCGATTCAGCGAGGCTTGCGAGGCTCAGTCGATGTCACGAATCTCCGGCTCCTAAACGCCAGCCGCAGTAGAAACACGCTCCAGCTCCAACTCCCCAAACAGCTGCCTTGGTTGGAAGCCCAGCTTCGGCTGCCGACCGCTTTCCCTGGTCAGAGCAGCGAGCATCATAAGGTCGAGGGAGGGAAGGGAGGGGTCCAGAGCCTTGCTTTTCCCTTTCGCCTGTTCTGAGCCGACTCTTCACATCCAGTCTAGCGAGCCTAGAGGCCCCGCAGGAAACCACCCCTGCCGCCTGCTTCAGCTTGTGCAAGCGATCCTTCTCGCGCTCAGCGCGCATCTTCTCGATCTGGGTGGCTCTGTTAAACTTAGAAATTCCAAATCGACCTAGAGGACCTAGAGACCAACCTTGGCCAGCTCAGCCATCAATGCCTTCTTCTCTTGCTTCTCTTGCGCCTGCCGGGCAACGGCAAGGGTCAGACAAATATCTTCTTGGCACAAAGCTGTGAGCCTTGGTCTCCTTCATGGCCTCCTTCTGCTCTGACGTGTGGCTCGTCTTCATTTCCCTGCGCACACTTTCTCAGGCTTGCAACGGTGATCTCTCTCCACAAGAGTATAGCAAGATTGGGTCGGACTTGTCAGCTTTTGACGGATGCTTGCAGCCGCACTGATCGATTGGCCTGTTGCCAACCGACTACTGCATGCAATTACTAGACATGCTTCAAGAGTGGCGTGCTGAAGCCAAAATCCGATCTTTCCCCTTGGGGTTGCACTCAGCTTGCCGAGCTTGCGCAGGCTGCGCAGGCTGCAGAGGAGGCATGAGGAGGCCAAGGCCAAGCCAATACAGCTCTGTTAAAGTCTCTGCACCGTTTCCACGGGGACCGATTTGTGTGGTTTTGCCTTCCCTGACATGTTTGCTGGGCATGCAGGCTGTACACAGGTCACGGCTAGGTTGAGGTCTGCGGGCGCCCAAGCAGCGCACAAATTGAGCGGCAAACGCGGCCGCCCTTTCGGGTTTGCTCTTGCCTCAAACTGCTGTCAAGATCCTGCAATAGCTCGTCTCGCTCCCTCTGCAAATCCAGCTGCCTGGGCAGGCTTTACAGCGAGAGCACGCTGAAAGTTGAAGTGAATGAGGCCAAGCCGCCCCTGCAGCTTCTCCACCTTCGCCTGCGCATGGCGCAGCTCAGCTGCCAGGCGCGACGATCGGGCTCGTTCCTCCTGCGAATCCGTGGGGCTCAGCCCGTCCCTCTCTATCCGGAGCTTTCCCCAAACTCTGCGCCTGCAGCTCTGCTCGCAGCGAGCGCACGTCCGCCTCCAGCAGCCGCCTACCCCAGGTGGACCGCGAACCGCCGAGGCCAAGGAGGCCGGTGCTCTCCGCGCGCACCACGTCCGAAGGAGCTCTCCCTCCTCGAAAAAGCAGCGGCGTCCCGAGACTTTGGGAGGCAACGCCAACAAAAAGAACTCTCATCTGCCAAGCTGCGGGAGCCCTGGCTCACGAAGGTTCGTGGCGAGGAGCTAGAGCTGGAACCGGAGCCCGCGATGGGTGAAAGCAGCGAGCGCGGTGCCAAGGCCTCCACCTCCGTCTCCCTCGCACTGAAACTCAACGACAGTGCGGCGGACGAGACACGAGGAACCTCTGCGGGAACCTCTGCCTCTGCAGAAGCCTCTGCCGAAACTTCCGGGACCGGAGCCTCCACTAAATTTTGCTTGAGATCCTCACTCTTGGAGGTTCTGGACAGGCGCCGCTCCAGCTCCTCTCGGAAGGCCTGTGCAGGACAGTCAGGACAAGCCGTTCCTGTCCCTCAAACTGGCCTGGCCTGCGCCATGGGCTGCCAAGCTCGGACAGACTTGGACAGCAAAGAGCGCCACCAGCTTAGAGATATCCTCTTCTGCAACATGATCTGGTTTTCAATCATGCGACATGCGTCCGTTCTCAAGCCTTTCCAAGGCGGAGATATGCTAACCTTTAGCTGGAGCTGCCGAAACACGTGGAGGTGCACTGAGGATTGAAGACGGCTGCGGGCAGGCGCGCGCGTGCGCACTGGCTTCAACAGTTTGCTCCATGAAGCTCCTGTGAGCGCTGTTCTGAATCCTCCGAACATAATCTTGTCATGTAGTGCGAACTACCTAATGATGACTCGCAAGGCTCAAAAACTAGCATACTAGCAGCGGACGCAACACGAAGAAACGAACTGAAGGAAAAAGACTGCACAGCTCTTGCCGTTGCCCAGGAAGCTAAGCATCCATGCTGCCACCAGGTTCTTTCGTGTTCGCAGCACTTGCAGAGCGTCTCTGCTGCATCGCACCTCCCATCTCCATGGGCTCGTTCGAGTTCACAGGCATCAGTTGGAACGCAAAACTCACTGGGAGTACTCGAAGAGCAAGCAATAGCTTCTTCAGACGAGGCAAATGTCCCTGCAGCATTATACCTCCATGACAAGCTTCATGCAAGCATCTTCTGCCAGCTCGTTGAGTTTTGCAAGCATCAGTTGAGCCATGAATTCATGGGTAGAACTCGCAGCTCAGGCAATAGCTTGCTACCGCTATTGACATCTTCAGGCGAAGCAAATGTCCCCGCAGCATTATACCTCCATGACAAGCT